GTAAAAGGCCCGGGCGCGCGGTGGCTCAAGCCCTATAATCCAGCCACTTTGGGAGGCCGAGACGGCAGATCAACGCGGTCATGGAATATCAAGACCATCCTGGCTAACAAACGGTGGAAACCGTGTACACACCGCTCCTACCTAAAAAAACACAAAGCTTACCGGCGCGAGTGGCGGGGCGCCTGTAGTCCCAGCACTGGGAGGCGAGCCGGAGACAGGGCGTAAACCCGGGAGGCCGGAGCTTCCTGAGCTGAGATTCCAGCCACCTCACTCCGCCATGGTGACAGAGCGAGAACCTCCGTCCCAAAAAAAAAAAAAAAACAAAATTAGAAGCAGTCAGCCAGGCATGATGGTTCCACCACCTGTGGTCCCAGCTATCTCAGGAGGTTAAAGGCAAAGATCCGGCTTGAAGCCCAGGAGATTGAGGCTCAGTGAGCTGTGATCACGCCATTTTTTTTTTTTGTTTATAAAATACTCTAGCCTGGGCAACAAGGAGAGACCCTGTCTTACAAAAAAATATAAATAAAAATTTAGAGATAACAACGCATTTCAGTGCATTCTAAATGCCCTCATTTTCTCACATTTTCCATCTCTGACATTTGGAATGCCACTTGTATTCAATGATTTATTTACACTATAATTGGAAGCATTTTTAAAATTGGAAACACTTTTAAAACAAAGTTAATCTTACCTGTGTTTTCCAGAACTTCAAACACCAAAAGGAAACTCAGGAATTTCCCCAAAATGAATAGGTTTGGCCCTCATTTTTCTTTTTTTTTCTTTTGAGACGGAGTCTGTCTCTGTCACCCAGGCTGGAGTGCAAGTGGCCGGACTCCCACGCTTCACTGCAAGCTCCCGCTCCCGGGTTACGCCAATTCTCCCTGCCTCAGCCTCCCGAGTAGCTGGGCACTAGCTTGGGACTACCAGCCGCCCGCCACGTCCGGCCCGGCTATTTTTTGTATTTTTTTTAGTAGAGAATGGGTTTCAACTGGGGTTAGCCCAGGATTGGTCTCAATCCCTGACACCTCTGATCATCCCGCCCATTTCGGCCTCCCAAAGTGCTGGGTTACAGGCTTGAGCCACGCGCGCCGCCTCCATTGACCTAATATTACGTGTTTAAGGACCATACATTTTCCAACAAGGACAGTTAAATGTTATCTCTATAGATTTCCTAACCCTTGCAGAAACACTTTTGTTAAAAAGAGGGGGCTGGGCGCCAGTGGCTGCACGCCTGTCAAATCCCAACACTTTGGTGAAGGGCCGCAGCAGGGCAGATCATTTGAGGTCAGGAGTTCAAGATCAGCCTGAACGAAAAAAAAAAAAAAAGAGAGATAGTAGACTATGTCTGCTACATAACAGGTATTCAGGTTATGTTTGATGAATAAATGGATTGAAAGAATGGAAAAATCGTTAGGGAGTTCAATATTTTTAAATAAAATTCTTATAAAGTAGAGCAATTCTTTTATTCTTTGCAATAATATTTATTTATTTATTTATTTATTTATTTATTTTTTGAGATGCAGTCTCGCTGTCACCTAGGGTGGATTGCAGAGTGCAATCTTGGCTCACTGTACCCTCCACCTCCCAGGTTCACGCTATTCTACTGCCTGCCTCAGTCTCTCAAGTAGCTGAGACTACAGGTGTGTACCACCGCACCTGGCTAATATTTGTACTTTTAGTACAGAAGGGTTTCACCATGTTGGCCAGGCTGGTCTCCAACTCCTGGACTCAAGTGATCTGCCCTCCTCAGCCTCCCAAAGTGCTGGGATTACAGGCGTAAGCCATTGAATCCGGCCTAATTATCATTTATATTCGGTATTTTTATTGTCATGAGGACACAACTAAAATAAAATGATTGCACCTGTTTGCATATATAATAAATCTATAATAAAAACATATATGGTAAAATGTATACATAAAAACTATAAATACAGATAGAAAGATACCCTTTTTCTTTTCTTTTAACTTTTTATCTTCTTACTTTTTGGTGGCGAGAAAAAAGATCAGATTTACCTTACATTTTTAATAGAGACAGGGTCTTGCTATGTTGCCCAGGCTAGTTTCGAACTCCTGGGTCAAGTAATCCTCCTGCCTGGGCCTCCCTAAGTGCTGGGATTCCAGTCATGAGCCACCGCACCCAGCCAAGATCCCCTTTACTTCTGAAAAGGATAAAAGTTGTCAGACGACAGCAATCCACAAAAAAAAAAAAAAAAAAGAGGGAAATTATTTTTATGTGTGCAAGATTCATATTCCTGCTCTTTTCCCAAGGATTACTTCATCAACAATAAATTCTCAGTAGAACTTTTATACATACTCATTGCAGAAATCATAAAGAAAAAGGAAAAAGTTTGACTTATTATACAAATGCCCAGAAATAACAAATCTTGCCACGTTTTGTACATATTTTCAGCTAACACAAGACCAGTCTGTATATACATATCAAACTGATATTGTACAATCAAACTGATTTTTTTCCACTTGAGATACCAAAGTGTACCCTCACATGCCAATATACTTCTGTATCTATTGCCACTTTCTTTTCATTTTTTTTTTCTTGAGACGGAGTTTTGCTCTTGTTGCCCAGGCTGGAGTGCAGTGGCATGATCCTGGCTCACTGCAACCTCTGCCTCCCAGGTTGAAGCGATTCTCCTGCCTCAGTCTTCTGAGGAGCTGGGATTATAGGCTCCCGCCACGACGCCTGGCTAATTTTTGTATTTTTAGCAGAGACGGGGTTTCACCATGTTGCCTAAGCTGGTCTCGAACTTCTGATCTCAGGATATCCACCTGCCTTGGTCTCCCAAAGTGCTGGGTTTACAGGCGTGAGCCACCACGCCTGGCCTCTACTGCCACTTTCAATGGTCACATATTATCATGCACTGACATTTATTCATAAAATCCATTCTATGGATTGCTTAAGCAATGCCAACAAAAACAAATTACATGTCTATCTGTTTCCTAAAGGCATTTTATTTCTTTTTCTTTTTGAAAGATAGGGTCTTGCTCTGCTGTCACTGACATACCTCACTGCAGCCTAGAACTCCTGGGCTCAACTGATGCCCCTGCCTCAGCCTTCCAAGTAACTGAGACTATTAGAGATGGGCGAGGGGTGAGGGAGGGCCTCGCTATAATGCCCAGACTGGCCTTGAACTCCTGGCCTCAAGCAATCCTCCCGCCTCAGCCTCCGAAAGTGCTGTGATTACAGGCGCAAGCCACCGCGCCTGACGAATAAAAGATTTTATAGAAATAATTTTTAACCCAGAAGTTGCTATATTATGGAAACTGCTTATCTCATTATGCACTTTTCCATAAAGTATATGACATTATGTCTTAAATGTGTACATTAAAAATAAAACGCTGTACGTGCTTTTGTTCGTTAACTCACTTTAAAATTGTCACTTAAGTTCTAAGGGGATTTCGGGGGGATCGGAAACCAGCTGGAGTTCTGTTTTTTTTTTTTTCTGCTCAGAAAGGCGGCCTGGGAGCTGGAGCCCCGCAAGGTGGTCACCGTCCCAGGGGCTGCGGAGCCCGTGGGAGGCTGATCCAGGCCCCAGGTGGCTCCCACAAACGAGGCCCCTCTTCCTGCCCGCCTACCCCCGTGGCATTCAGTCCAGGCTTGCGACTCCTATTACCTGTTCATCTTGTCTCTATCGTTCAAGCCATTCTTCCTGAGCAAAAGGATCTGCTGCACTTTCGCCACATTACCCGCGCTGGCAGCTTTGTGAATCTTGCCGAGATCTCGGTCTCGGACGTGGTAGCCAGGCTGCGAGTAGGCGCCCTCCCCGGGCTCGCCCCCGCCGCCCGCGCTGCTCCTCCGCCGCCGCGCGAAGGAGCCCAAGGGCGATTCGCCCTTCTTGCTAAAAATCTTCTTCATTGCCCAGGCGACCGGGCTTCAGAGACACCTCATGTCTCTCTCGGCTCTTAACGGCCCCCGGAGCCCAACATAGCAAGTCAGCCCCGGCTGGCCGCGGCCTCCCAGAGGAAACTCCGCGGTTTCCAATCTTTCCCTCCGGGTTACCAAGCAAGCGAAGCCGCTAGACACAAGTGCGCATGCGCGCCTCGGACTGCAAGGTCCATGCGCGTGCGCAGGAAGGCCCAGTGGGCCCCTCCCCCCCCCGCCCCAGGGTGTCCGTGCGCATGTGCAAGGCCCAGGCCTCGCAAATCTCGGAGGCTGTTGGGGAGTAGCCCTGCGTTGCTGTCAATTCAAACATTGTTCCATTCAAACAAATGTCGGTAGGAGTTTGGCTGAATGTTCAGGAGGTTTGCGAAAACAACCCTCGCGCCTATGGGGAAGCAGCCTTTACGCATGACTGGGACTGGAGTAGCGTGGAGTTTTAAGATGCTGAAGGCCTCTTATCCAAGAAAACTCTCCTAAGAAACTCTCTCAATCTCCGTATCTCTCAGTTTATTCCCCTTCCACGTCCCTTTGGGTTCCAGCTGGTCTCCATGAGAACTTAACAGATGCAACAGAGGGCACAGGATTTCGGAGATCGTGGCAATATGTGTTAAGTGCAAACTTACGAGGAGAAACCAATGCACATTCTCCAGAAGAAATGAAAACGCATTTCTGCATGCCTTCTTCCCCCACCCCTCTGCCTTTGGCCCCATCTAACGTTCTATTTTTTGCTTTTAATTTTCCAAGGTTACATCTCTCTTTTTTTTCCCCCCCAACAGAATCTCGCTCTGTCGCCCAGACTGTAGTGCAGTGGTGCAATCACGGCTTACTGCAGCCTCCACCTCCTGGGCTCAACGACCCTCCCACCTTAGTCTCCCGCGTGAGTAGCTGAGATTACAGACGCACGCTACCACGCCCGGCTATTTTTGCATTTTTTGTAGAGACAGGGTCTCGCCATGTTGCCCAGGCTGGTCTCCGACTCCAGGGCTCAAACGATGTTACCATCTCAGCCTCCCAAAGTGCTGGGATTACAGGTGTGAGCCACCGCGCCCAGCCTAGATTGAATAATTTGACAACAAATTGGAATTAGCAACGCAGATGCCAAGCGTCTGGAGCCTCAGCAGAAATTGCTGCTGGAATGCACCTCCATAGCTCTGGACAGCTGTAGGGTCCCTGTGGAGGAGATGGCTGGCCCCAGAACAGGGGTCTTTATTGGCAAGAGAGAAATGGGCAAAAACAAAACAACACTTCTCAGGCCTCTCCAGCTTAGCTAGATCAAATGGTTTTGATGTGGGAGAGTGGTTTCCACTATCATCACCAAGAATTTTCCTCCTACACTAGCCCAGCTAGAAAGTTATGTTGTCTCCTCAACATTCCCCAGGGTGATCTATGAAGCTAGTCAAGTCCCAGCACTCTGGGAGGCCGAGGCAGGTGGATTACCTAAGGTCAGGAGTTTGAGATCAGCCTGGCCAACGTGGTGAAACCCCGTCTGTACTAAAAATACAAAAATTAGCTGGGCGTGGTGGCGTATGCCTGTAGTCCCAGCTACTCGGGAGGCTGAGGCAGGAGAAATGCCTGAACCTGGGAGGCAGAGGTGGCAGTCAGCAGAGATCACACCACCGCACTGTAGCCTGGGTAACAGACCAAGACTCCATCTCAAAAAACAAAAACAAACAAACAAAAAATACTCAAATGTGGAGAAGACTGACTCTGAACAGAAGACTCTGACGTTTCCTAATGCATCCTGAAATGAGAGCCAAAGACATTACCAGTCTGGACAGATATAGGAATCACACACCACCCTCCAGGTAAGTTGTAGAGATTTGGTTGACCATAGTGTTTTTGTATAGACCAGAGATACTCAAGGACTATGTTAGGCCAGCTCTAAGGTGTTGAATTCGTCAGCCAAATGCTGGATCCCCAAAAAGTCCAGAGTAGCTGGGGCTACAGGTGCCCGCCACCACCCCCAGCTAATTTTTGTATTTTGTTTAGTAGAGACGGGGTTTCACCTTGTTAACCAGGATGGTCTCGATCTCCTGACCTCGTGATCCGCCCGCCTTGGCCTCCCAAAGTGCTGGGATTACAGGTATGAGCCACCGTGCCCGGCCAGATAAAGCTCTTTAATTCCAGTTCAAGGCTGTCACACGTTTTCTCCTTTTAAGAGTTACCAAGAAATTCATCAAACCCTTTTCCAAAACTGGTTCATTCTTTGAAATGTGTCGTCCCATGTATTCTGCTGTATCTGTTGAGGAATAATGAAACTATAATTAAACCATGATTAGAACATAAGGGCTCAAGGGTATTGAGGCCCATCTGCCTGTATCTCCTGGAGATCCAAGACCTGGGATGATCACAGTAAGGAGGCCACAACACTAAACAGAAACATGTTCTGGGAACCTTCTTTATTCTAGGTACTGTGAGAGTCAGTGAGGAAACAACAGATGTGTCATTCTTCAGTTCAGGGAGGGAGGCAAATTTCATGTTTAGTGCCACATTAAGGGGGAGCAGAGAGGGCCTACAGCATCATGTCAAGAGAAGGGTGGTAGGTCAGGGAGAGAGGCACATGCAGAAGTGATGTCAAAGCTGAGATTTAGGGCTGGGCATGGTGGTGCAGGCCTGTAATCCCAGCACTTTGAAAGGCTGAGGCTGGTGGATCACTTGAGCTCAAGAGTTCGAGATCAGCCAGGGCAACATAGCAATACCTTGTCTCTAAAATTAAATTAAATTAAATTTTAAAAGCCGAAACTTAAAAGAATAAACAGGAGTTTGTCAGAGGGGGGAAGATGGAGGGGAAAAGTACATCCTAGAAAGAGATAATGTGTCAGCCAGGTTTCAATCAGGAGAGAAACCACTTAGTAACCTGAACAAGAAAAATTTAATACAAATTATTATTTACTATAGAAGTTTTGCATGTTAGCTTGTGCCTGTAATCCCAATTACTTGGGAGGCTGAGGCATGAAGATTGCTTGAAGCCAGGGGTTTGAGACCAGTGCCAAGACCAGCTCGGTCGGGGAGACTCTAACCCAGCGGCGCTAGAGGAATTAAAGACACACACACAGAAATATAAAGGTGTGAAGTGGGAAATCAGGGGTCTCACAGCCTTCAGAGCTGAGAGCCCCGAACAGAGAACAGAGATTTACCCATGTATTTATTAACAGCAAGCCAGTCATTAGCATTGTTTCTATAGATATTAAATTAACTAAAAGTATCCCTTATGGGAAACAAAGGAATGGGCTAGTTAACTGCAGCAGGAGCATGTCCTTAAGGCACAGATCGTTCATGCTATTGTTTGTGGCTTAAGAATGCTTTTAAGCAGTTTTCCACCCTGCACTGGCCAGGTGTTCCTTGCCCTCATTCAGGTAAACCCACAACCTTCCAGCACTGGCGTTATGGCCATCATGAACATGTTACAGTGTTGCAGAGATTTTTTTTATGGCCCGTTTTGGGGCCAGTTTATGGCCAGATTTTGGGGGGCTTGTTCCCAAGAACCAGCCTAGGCAATATAGCCAGAACATGTCTCCAAAAAGTTTTTTTAAATTACCCATGGCCAGTGCTGGGCGCCGTGTCTCACACCTGTAATCCCAGTAGGGATTACATACCTTGGGAGACGGAGGTGGGTGGATCACTTGGGGTCAAAGAGCAGCTTGGCCAACATGGTGAAACCCCATCTCCACTAAAAATACAAAACTTAGCCAGGTGTGGTGGCAGGCACCTATAATCCTAGCTATTCAGGTGGCTAAGGCAGGAGAATCACTTGAACTCGGGAGGTGGA